TTACCACATTAGTTAAAAGTAAACATCTGTCTAATCAAGAGAAAGCCCAAAACTAAGTTCTTTAGCCTCTGCACAACTCAAGCAGCTTGGAGCATGTGCCTAGGGCTTAAGCCTTGAAGAAGGTACCCTGAGAATGCCTTGGACTAACTGGTTGAGGACTTGAACCAGCCACGTAGTTGAGGGAGGAAGTTCTGCAGGTAGGTTCAGGAGTGATTCTCAAAGCACACTTCCTGACCAACATCATCAGTATCCCCTTGAAATATGTTAAAAACTCAGAATCTTCAGCAGCACCCTGGACCTGTTCAAGCACAAACTCTTGGGGTGGAACCTGGTACACTATTGAAATTGGCATTTCAAGTGACTCTGATAGAATTTGAAATGTGTAACACATTAGTATAAACCATCAGGCCCTGACCACGCATCCTAGAGAGAAGGTAAACCCTTTGGGTTTCACTGGCTTCTCACACAATTAAAAAAGGATAGCAGGGGAAGCCTAGATGTGAGCATCAGAATATATCAGGAAGGGTCAGCTCTGTTCACTTCTGACTTGCTGAGGCTTCGGTGATCAGCAGGACAATTAGCCAATTGGTCTGAAGATGACTTCTGAGTCCTATATGTATGTACTCATCTAAAAGCTTTGAAGAGAGAGAGATGACAGGAGAGCATGAACTTTCGAGTTTTCTGTAGGCTCTGTCCTGATTTCAGAGAAATTGGATATATAAATTTACATAGTTTTCACAGGGAAAAAATTCCCACTTCTCAAACGATTACACACTGTAATTGTTCTCTTAAAAAAATAGTTTCTTTTATGTATATTTTAGATGTTAAGTAATTTGGGCTTTTTTTTTAGACTTTTATAGGTGTATACATTGAAATATGATAATCTCTCCCTTCCAGATCACTGGAATAGGGGTATACATACAGGTTTCTTTTAAGGGTCTATTATAACAGGATTTTGGAGGAAGAGGCCTGAGTCTCTGCACTGAGAGCAACAATTTTTCTTTCCGTTCTTTAATATACTCCATCACCACCAATGTCTCTAGGGTTTCTGTCTCTGAGGTCAGTCTAACCAACCTCACACCACTAGAGTGTCATCTCTCAAAAAGAAAATGATGGCAAACCTCTGATCAAATTCCATCTCCAAGCCTCTGTGTGCCTCATAGTAAACTCCGAAGCTTTAGGGTGAGTCCCCAAGCCATACCCATCCAGCCCCTGCCTCTTTCTTCAGCCCTGCTTCCCACTGCTCCATCCTTGGGCTCATTCTGAATTCTTCACACTGCCTTGAACACATGGGGCTTGTAATGATTTGTATATGTTTGGCCCAGGGAGTGGCACTATTAGGAAGTGTAGCCTTGTTGGAGTAGGTGTGGCCCTATTGGAGTAGGTGTGTCCTAGCTGCCTGGAAGGGAGTCTTCTCCTAGCAGCCTTCAGATGAAGATGCAGAACTCTCAGCTCCTCCTGCACCATGCCTGCCTGGATGCTGCCACGTTCCTGCCTTGATGATAATGAACTGAACCTCTGAACCTGTAAGCCAGCTCCAATTAAATGTTGTCCTTACAAGAGTTGCCTTGGCCATAGTGTCTGTTCACAGCAGCAAAATCCTAACTAAGACAGGGTTCTTATGTCTTGGTTTTCTCAACAATCTAAATCTTTCCTTCCCTCTTCCCAGTGTAGCAATTAAGTTAATAGCAGGTTTCATTGTGTACAAACTCTTGGTAGATTAAGCCAACATGGATTGCTTCCTCACTCTGTGTCACTGGTTGACAAGTCTTTCTCTATCAGGTCAAATGGTAAATACTTTAAGCTTTGTGAGTAACATGGCCTCTGATATGTGAGTATATGTATCCAAACCTTTAAAATGTATTTAAAAGCCTTCTTATTCACAGACATCATCAGAGATGTGTGTTCAGCTACTCATGCAGTCAATCAGAAACCTGGGCTAATGGCACAGTCACCTCTCGAATGCCTCCTGTTGCCAGGGAGACAAAAAGAGCCTCGCACAAGCAATTAAATGTCCGGGTCTAGAAGTGATGCCCTTGTAACTTCTGTCCCTTAATTAGTGAAAGCTAATCTCTTAACCCAGCCAATGATAAAGAGGCTGAGGCAGGCTGTGACTTACTGAGTGAAAAATGCTGACTGTATCAGCTCAAATCAATGTACCCTAGGAAGACTTGTTGTTGTTGTTGTTGTTGTTGTTGTTTTACATTCTCATCCTGCAACTAAGTCAGCTAGGTTTCCTCTGTAATCCTATTCATTCATTCATTCATTCGTTCATTCGTTCATTCATTCATTTGTTTGTTCATTCATTCATTCATCCTTGTGATGCTTCAGATGGAATGCACAACTTTGTGCATGCTAGGCAAGTAATCCACCACTGAGTATCAGCCCCAGCTCCAGCCTCAGCTGTGTATTCTACAGCATCTCAAACAACTTTGGATTACAGTGCCGTATATAAAACACTGCCATAATGTTCAACATGTCTCTCTTACCCTGACCAGCTCCCATGACCTCCTCAGCTAAGTATTTATCCATGGCAGTTGCCTTGCGTAGCATAGAGTCCAGCACTGTTCAGTGTGTGTTGTTTGGACATACTAACTCACTTGGTGGATTGTGGGAGTAAATAGTACTACGCACACAGTTACCCGAAGGCCTCTGTTTGTTTGCCCACGTTATCTACTGGTGATTAATTTATTCTTTTAGTTATCAGTTACTCTCTGTGTTAATCACATGCATGCCTTCTTTGTAACTTCTTTCAGCCAATAATGCATTGGTCTGAAAGGGAGCTGGTTCTTGAGGCTGCAGTAGATTTAGAGGATCACCTGGGTCATTTCTGTTTTCAGTTGATGGGTCAGAAGGCAGGCACAGAAAAGGGAGTGGTTTGTTTTTGTCGTTTGTAGTTGCATGGAGGCAGAATCGAAGGATAGACCAAAAAAGCCACCAAATTGAGTATAGAGCCATAATTCGGCTTACCAACAGTTTATTTCTGCTAGAAAGCATAATACATGTTTGCCAAAGATTTAAGTCTTACAGTATCATATCAATGTTTCCCTTGTAGTATACATTTCTCTCTCAAGTAAAACATTAAAAACAAGCACTTGACGTCTCGGTTAACTACTGAGCCTGTTCGTATTGACTTCACCTATGTCCCCCACCCATTTCACTAGCTGTAAAGTGACTATGAGCTTCTCAAGCCTCAGAGATAGGAAAGTTAGACCGTCCCCCTCAAACCTGGTCTATGGGCTGAATTCTAGCTGTGAGCACCCGCGCTGTAAAACGGTATGGACCGAGTTTGCCATGCAGTTTCCACCCAATCCTCTACCCTCCCATTATTCACAACAGCATCCACAGTGAGCCGCTTTGAAAGATCCCATCTGCCTGTGCGCTTATCAATCACAATGAGGCTAAATTACACGGACCAAAGTGTGTCTTGGCTGAGAATTACCCCAGGGTCTCCTGGGTACAGGAAGTTTCCCAAATAAACAGGGGAACTAAGGCAAGGACATTACAATGCCAGAAGCTAGGACGTGGAATCTGATATCTGTCAACCTTGATTCACTCGAGGTACAGAAACTTATAAAACAGAAGTGTACACACCACATTAACAGGTGAAATAATTCGGTGCATCCCTCTACTTTGCTTAGACCAGAGCAAAGAAAACATCTCAACCAGGCCGATGTGTTCAAGAAAACTGAAGTACACTAAGATCAAATCATAGTTTTAGGTCCTGTCTGGCACCCACTTCCCCCCAACCTATCCTTTCTGGGAGGGTTGACTTTACTTCCTTCTTTCCCCCCACAACGCTTATAATTGAACGTTACAAACTATACCGAGAATAAATCTACCGGGGTCCCCTTCCTCCAACCAAAAAAAGGTTAAGCTTTTAATTACAGGCCCTCAAACTATCATTTTGTGCAATTAGCAATTAACTATAATCGTTGATGAGAGAATGCAGAGAGCTGCGCTGGCAATTTCCCTCCTCCCCATCCCAGACTTGGTTATTTTAGTCTTCTTCTATTACAGAGGACAAGCCACAACCGCGGGAGCGCTCTTGTTCTTTCTCTCTCTCCTTTCACACACTCTTACTTAAAGCCACATTTATTTTTTTTTTTTTTTTACAAAATGGCATCTCAGCTTGCCATGGAGATGGGACTCCGAACCCTACAGCAGAACAGCAGAGCGTTCGCATCCCTCCTCTTCATCACTTTCAGGTTGGAAAGAAGAGTCCCCCGGAAGATGCTACCTACCGACCTCACAACATCAACCCTTCCAAGGGGCTCAGGAGAGGGAGAAAAAGGGTTTCTCGCTGCCCCCAGACCCCTCAATTGCCAGCCCCATCAAGCCCGGAGGCGGTGGCAACAGCAGTAATAGTTGCATCAGCGCTCTTAGCCAGGGCGCCAGGAGGGTACAGTAGCGACTGTAGGGAGCTAGGGAGCGCACAGCTACTGCGGCCGGCCGCAGGTTCCCTGGATCAGGAAATTAGGACAGGCACCCGGGATTGGAGGTGAGGACAGTGCGCGAGCCAACCAGCAGCCGCCCCGGGTCCCCCGTGAGCCCCGGGCCGACGCGCGGAGCAGCCGAGCCCCTGGAGCCGTCCGGATGGCGGCGGCGACAGCCCCAGCCCCAGCCACTCACGCACGCACGCTGCCACTTGCCCCCGCACCCTCCTCACTGCGCGCGGGAGAGCGGTGCGTGCCCGAGCTGCTGGGCTGAGCTCCCCCGCTGGGGTTCCCGAGCCGCTCGGCCGCGCTCCTGCCGCCGCCCGGGTGGGTGCCCCCAGACCGCTCACTTGAGCTGTCCCCGGTGGCGAACGAGCTCCCCGCCCCCTCCTCCCGCTCCGTTCCCTCCCCTCTCCCTCCCCTTCTCTGCAACGCCTGCATTATTTTCCGCCCGCAGGGTCCGCGCGCACACCGCGGCCGCAGCGGGGGAGGTGACCCGGTGGGTGGGTGGGTGGATGGGTGGATGGGTGGATGGCTGGCGGGGAGTAGAGCGTGCAAGTTGCAGAGAAGGGGTGCCAGCTCCTTGCGTGCTCTCCGTGCTCCCGGCTCCTCACTCCTTCCCCCTCCTCCTCGCCTCCTCCCTCCCCGCCCCCACCTCCTTCCTCCTCTCCGAAGGGCTGGTAACTTGTTGTGCGGAGCGAACGGCGACAACGACGGCGCGACGGAGGCACCATCCGGGCGGGCAGCATGGGCACGTCCGCGCGCTGGGCGCTGTGGCTGCTGCTCGCGCTGTGCTGGGCGCCCCGGGACAGCGGCGCCACTGCAAGCGGTGAGTGGGGACGCGCCCCTCCGCACTCGGCCCGAAACAAGCCGGGGCGTCCGCGATCGCTGCGTTTTGGGGGACCCCGGGGCTCCTCTTGCCCATCCCCTCCTAGCAGGAGCCTCTCCGCGCTCCTCTCCTGCCTCCCCTCCCCACCCGGGTGGCGCCTCTGAGCTGTCAGAGCCGAGGTTACTGGGAGCCAGGCCCGGGGGACGGTGGGGTTTAGGGTGTCCTAAAGCGTCCCTTGAACTTGTTGTCATTCTTCTGTGTCCCCCTTTCTTTCAGAACCTCTGTTTTACATGGCTTTCACCCCCCCATTGACAAGGGTTAGGGGATGTTGTCTTTGGAGCTACTGAACAATGGTTCTGCCTCCTCTGCCAGGCGGGCTGTTAGGATCGTGGCAGAGCACGGGGCCTGGAAGCCTGGGTGCGCCCCTCAGACTTAAGCAGGGTTGAGAGCGCACAGTGGGTGAAGGTGGGCGTCTCCGAGGACCCCGGGCGCCAGGTGCCGGCCGAGCCTGGAGTCCTCGCGCCGCCGTGAGCAGGCGCACGTTCGGTGGGCGGCAGCCTGGAGGCCGAGCCATGACAAGTACGCAGCCTGCGCCCGGGACTGCGACTCCCCAGGCGCCGGGCCGTCTCTCAGGCTCCAAGTGTGGCTTTCAACTGAACTGTCCTCCGAGTGCTTTTCTTTCTCCCTTCCCCGGGGATTCCGCAGTTACTGCAGCGTTTAAAACCCTCTGGGGTCTCTGAGATAACTGAACGGGGGAGGGGAGTGGGATCAAGACTTAATCAGGTTACTTTGCCGAGCCTCATCCTGGGCAACACTTGTCCCCAGAGAAACTGAGTCCCAGTGTAGTGACTGTAATTAGCCTTTATTCTACACAATAAGACCCGAAGGTGTGGTGCTATAGCTGGAGTTGACCGGAGCTTGGTGAGGGCGGGGGTGACTACTGTCGAGTCCCCGGGGGTCGGCACACTGGCTTCAGAGCCCTGTGTGCTTTCAGCACCCCATCTTGAGTCACACAACTTTCCAGAGCAGTTGATAAGACGCCTTCCTAACAAGGTTCGGTCTTATCCTTGGCGGGCCACTGAAGAGGTCGTAGAGGTCTTAAGAGGTGACACCAAAGTGCTTGCTTGCCAACCAGCTCTAGGTAATTAGGGCAGAACGCTGTCCCAGCTCTAAATAGTCCACAATCCCCATCTCCTGTCGCGTCGCCGGGTAGCTTAGAAGGCTCGCCTGCGTGCGGTCACGTGTGTCCTGGAGTGAGAGCGAACTTTCAAGTGTGTGGTCAAGCAGTCTGTCGAGCTATGCTGGGGTGTTTAAGTCTCCCAGCGCCCCTGGGCCTTTGGTTCCGCTGTCCGGAGCGTGAGAAGCTGGGCAGGGCTTTTCTGCCCCATGCGATTGGCTGGTAGCTGGATTGCGTTTAGCTTGGTCACGTGTCTACGCGGAGTTAATTGAGCTGCCCCAGCTGGGTTACCTTTAAGATCAGCCAGGCTCACAGGGGCCTTTCCCTCTGGCGCTTTCTCCAGCTGCACTCTGAAAAGGGTCCTTGTAGAGTCACGCTAAAATCCTACGTGTGACAAACCTATGTGCCCAGAGAAGCCCTGCTTAACAGAACATTTCAGGCGCTGACATTAATCATTAATGGATGAGTAATGTTAACTTATTAAACCATCTCTCAAAAGAGTGACTTGACTCGCGTTATATATTTTGTAATATTTCAAAACATGAATGTATAAAATCCATTACTGACTGTGATCTAGGGAGGTGGGAGAAAGGAGTCGCTTAAGCTGCAGAACCTTTTCTATTCTTGGGATGTTTAAAGTGCTAACTTTCTATCAGGTGCTGTTTTTTTTTTTTATGGAATGGTAGGAAAGTACCCAGACTGCTGCAAAGAGCTAGTCAAACATCAGAAGTTGTTCAGCCGGGATCAGGAAAGTGGGGATAACCTTGGTTCCTCCTTTACTGCAAGTGGGATATGGTGGTGCTGCAAATAGTGGAAGAGAGAACCAGGTACAAACCTAACTAGTCAAGAGTGGGAGAAGCAGTTCCTTCTGAGCTATAGCAAACTTGGAGTTGGTTAAAGCACGTATTGTCGTAAGTTCAAAGTCTCAAAACATGCGGACTGATTTTTCTACCCCAGAACCTCTATGCTTACTCTTTCTCTCCAACCCTTCCCTCTGTCCCACCCCACAATACACACACACACACACACACACACACACACACACACAGAGAGAGAGAGAGAGAGAGAGAGAGAGAGAGAGAGAGAGAGAGAGAGCTCCAAACTACCTGACACAGCACAGGGCAGGCATGTGTGCACAGAGTTTCTGTAACTGAAGTGAGGCTAACAAGGGACATTAACAAAGGAGACATCACAAGGGTGGAAGGTAGGATACATATGGGCTCTGGGACTCTTCCCTCCAGCCTAGTATAGATTAAGATGTGGTGTGTTGCACAGTCTTCAAAGCCAGTGTTCTGCAAGAGCTCTCCCCATCTGACCAGTGACTGTTACTTCTCTTATCCTGGGATTGAGCAATACCAGAGTACCTGCAGGTAGGAATCTGAGAGACCAGGAGAAATAATTCCTGGCTTACCAGAGCACAAGAGAAGGTAGAGACCATAGCAGTCCATGTAGATGAAGGAAGGCTCTCTTTTTAAAAAGAGTCACGATCCAAGCTTCACGGGCAGCACATTTCCTAAAGCCTGAAACAGCTTTTTCCCAGGTTCGTCCTCTTACCAGTAACTCTAGTGCTGGGTTATTTCAACTCAACTCTTTACTTTTAATGCTTGAGTCTCCAGAGGCCTACACTGTGTATATGAAGTCCAACTTCAGTAGAGCTGGCATATGGTAAGACTTCGGGCCAACTCACTGCATTTGCGAACACTATGTAGTCCTTGTAAAGGGGTCTTTCTTCATCTTCTAAACAGTGGCAAAACTGATCATCACAGTTCTGCTTTCTAAAAGATAAATAACTACAGTCAGAACTTCACTGCGGTACTTTTTGTGAAGGTTCTGGAAGAGCTGAAGAGCTGTTGTGGCCCCTTTCTGTTCCCTAGACAAAGCCAGAACAGTAAAACACGTGTCTTAAAGATCAAGAGCACAGGTAGGGCCCCAGGCACATGGCTTCCGGCTGAGATTCCCAAACCCTGCCATTTACCAAGTAGCATAGAAAGGGAAAACATATAGTAAATAATTTCTAGTCTCTCACAGAGTGTTAAGTGGTTCTCAGTGGAGATAAGATGGAGATGGGGTAGGTCCCATTTCAGCCTCTGCCTCTGTTCCTGGTCCTGGGTGGTTTGACTTGACTGTGCTTTGGAAAGTCACTCATAGGTGCTAGCCTGTGAGACATTACGCACATCACAGAGCCAAAACAGGCCTGAAATGATGCTTGCCACATATAGACCTGGCTTACAAGGGACAGTCTGGCAGCTAAGGCAGCTGCCCTTCATATGGCAGGTGATAGGGCCGTCTAACTTGAGATAATCTCAAGAGATAACCACCCAGGATGATTGCCCCCAGACCACAGCCAGCAGATGGCTTTCAAGAAAAATAGAAGCCCTTCTTTGGAGGTTATGAGTGTAATGTACTTATTAAAAAGGAAGAATCCTAGACTGTTTCCCCTCCTAGCTGAGGAGGGGATAATCTGAGGACTAGTAGCTTTTTCTGAAGTCCCCAAGGCATGCTATAACCCAGTTTTTGGAGAACCTGATTTTGTAAGTGAAAACTGGCTCCATTTTACTCCATTTGTTTTTTAATACGACTCCGTATTTCTCTGCTTAGCTCCAGGGATGGTTTGCAATCACGGCCCTAGACATGGTTAGTTCCAACTAGTTAGACATGCTAGCTGTGGTATAGCTACGTGAGAAAGCACCTTAAACTGGACCTACTTTGCTTTCGGGTGGAGAGAGAACCCTGGATGATTTGGGCCTGTTAGTCATTTTTATGCTGTAAATTAGAGATGTAAGAGAGAAACCACTCCGTGGAGTAAGAGTAAGCATAGAGATCTTCCAGCAATGTTTCCGTGTTTGTGCAAGGGGCCTTTCATCAGCTTCGTGTGGTGGAGATTCTCAGCTTTGTAAGGTAGAGAAGCACCGTGTATGGGGGAGAGGGTATGCCTGAGCCACCACTTAAGAAGTACATTTAGGACAAGAAACTACAACTTGGAAGGGTCAGGCACTCACTAGAATGGCCAATTCTGCCACCAACTTGGGGCATCTGGGTTGGCAATTGGCCAGTAGTCTTTGGGTGCCCCACAACAGTCTTGCCATGGGGGTGAGGGGGGTGGGGAGATGTGCAGTTTGCCAGAAAGTGATGATTGATATTCAAGAGTTTGTATGTTATAACCACATTTCCTGCAAAGAATTTAGTGTGTGCTGCCCTAGTCTCCATACCTGCCTCTGAACTTGAATTTTCCTAAGAATGCTTTCTTAAGAACTAAGTTATTAACTGGCAGGGAGGTTACCAGGCAGGTTGTAAAATCCCTGTTGACTTTATCATGTTAAAATCTAAGTTGCTGATGAACTTGAAGCCAGTCTCCCTTTATACATCTGCTCAAGACCACTTGATATCAGGTCAGCACAGAAGCCAGAAAGCCGGCCTCCTGGTGCCATGTTTTTATAGAAAGTCAAACCAGGAAATTCAAGATCTAAAAAGAGGTGAGCATAGGAGCCGTGAGTGGAGTGAGCAGAGTTGGTGCTTCTTAATCATGAAAGCCACCGCCATCAGCTGAAGACGTCCTGTGGGCTCCCACAGGCTGCTTTCATCAGAGCTCAGAGTGTTTCCTTGAAATCACCAGCAACTTAGACTTTAATATGCCAAAGCCAGAAGGGATTTTATCTCTGCCAAATGGCCCCATGAAGATGAGGATGCAAACAGCAGTAGTGGCTTTGGCCAGCATCCCCAAAGAGCAGTAGTGTATCAAAAGTAAGACTTGGTTCTTGGTTCTGACACACCAACTTCCTGATCTTCCCAGATCTTCCATGTGTTTTAGAATCTCTCTCATGTG